TGCCAACCCTAAAAAAAATTATGAGTTAATCAAAGTTGTTTTATGGTAAATTTATTAAAAAAGATTGATGAGCAATAAAAGTTTTCCAGTTGGGGAAACAATTTATTGTAAAAAAAGGATGAAAAGAAAGAAACCATATACAATTATTATGCTACACCTACTAAATGATTTTGGATTAAGATTTCTAAGGCTCTTTCATTCTTCTCATTACTTCCTCCTTCAATTAATTCTCATCGTTAATCGATTGAATATTTGACTAAAATTATCAAATAAACAGAAGTAAAAAAAAGCATTATTAAAAATAACTTAAACCACGGCATTTTATTCAAAGCTGCAAATCTTGTTATTTGATATAATGGTAATGGTGCAATATGAATGGAGTTGACAAATGATATTTTGAAATTGCTTGGAATATTCATATACATATTAAAAGAAGTATTGGATAAAAAGACTGAATGAGGAAAAGCAAGATATAGAAGAAATACGGGAGAATTTATATCTATCTAATTGAATTACTTTATTAGATATATTCAGCTAACCAATTTGTTTATCTTTTATAAGTAACAATAACAAATATTATACTTATTACATAATAATATATTCAGAGTGGATTATAACTTAGTATTGTTTTATATGAGTATATGGAAGAAAAATGACTATATTCAGGCTATGAATTTGATTCCCTTACATAGAATAGAAGGCAATCTTTAGCATAGATTGATTAAATAAGACCAATAATGGTCTCATAATATCATTTTTTGAATGGACTTTATCAAAGATTAGTTTAGAAATTATTTACAGCATATAGGGACTTAGTTTTTTAAGGTTTAGTTTCTCTATTTGAAATATACGTTCAAATCATAGACAAAAAGAAAACTATTTAGGATAATACGAAAAAATATCTTAAAGATGTGTCAAGATTGATAAGATTTTTTATTGAATATTGATGATAACCTATACATGATCAGGTTATGTTAGGAGATATTTTGAATTAAAAATTTTATAAATCAAGGATCTGCTTTAAGTATAGTATTTTTTCGATTAAATTAATAGTGATTAAAAGGATTAAATTATTGGCAAGAAGAAATATTTATTGAAAAATTAACTAAGTTCTTACAACTTAAATTTATAAAGATGGCCTAACAACAATAAAAACATGTTGTTGTACAAGTAGACGAAATAATCTAAAGGTTGCAGAAAAGTGAATTAAGTAGTAAATTGTGATATTTGGAATACAAATTCATGTTTTGATAGTTCATAAATAAAAGATTTAAATATCCAGATAGTTAAACAATATGAGTATAGTGTTAGATTGAAGCTCAAGGAATTATAATTATTATTACGGAATGAATAACTGTTAGATATATTGTAAGATTGATATATCCCAAATAATCAGAAATGAATGTAAATACTGAAGTAGAGCTCTTTTTGTGAATTTTTGTTTTCCGATTAGGTTGAGAATTTTTCATAGATAATACAGATTGAATTATTGCAGCGATTACTAGAATATAAAATTAATAAACCTCATTATAGCTATAGATTGTAACTTTTCTAATTAAGAGAAAATTTGTTAATAAGTATTAACTAGAAGGTTATATTTATATTGATTTAAGAATTGTTAATTTAAAAAAACGACTAATCAACTCTAATAAGCTCAAAAATATAACTAAAATCTGCTCATGACCTTATTGACAAGACTTTAAGATTAGAGCACAATTTAAGGATAAATTGTGTAATAATTATTTTGAAATAACCCATAATTATCAATTGAGATATCATTGATATAGTTATTAATAATTTTATTAAGAGGATCCTTATAATCAGTTTTATGATAAGCGTAGAAATTTAATTTTAAGTTTATAAATTTGAATGAAAATTGGTCAGGAATATTTGGAAATTAAAGCCTCCTCTATATTAGAATGCATTTTCATAAAATTCAATATAATGTAGAAATAGACTGATCTTAGTTTTGGCAAATTTTTTGATCAACAACAAGAAAAGATAAAGAAATTATGTTAAAATAATTAATGTAAGATTTCATTTGAAATAAATTAAAAAGCTACGGACACTATGTTTCACAAAAAAAGATTTATAGGATAAAATAGAGATAATTAATATATTCTAATTAGTCAATATGACAAAAAACATCGTTAAAATAATTAATTTATTTTTTGATTATGATATATTCTAATTATTTGATATAAATATTTTGTATGAAAACATATATTCTTGAAAAATGAAATAAATTAGAATTTATAAAATTATCTAACTAATTAAGAATTAAATATAACTTATCAATTATTCTTTCTCACAATACATCCAATTATATATAAAAATAGATATATCAAAAAGATAACATAATTTTCAAAGAAAAATAATAAAATACAATTAATATTTATATTTTATGAATAAATTTAACAAAAGATGATTCGAATTTAATCAGTAATAATTTACTTTGATCAATTAAGAATAAGATATTTATTTAAGAAGAGCCAGATATGATAATACTTTGATATTAACATAAAATATATGTTTCATTGTTCTTAATATTTTCTAATTTGTATTTATTTTGATTCATAATCCCAAGTAATCAAATACTACCCATTTTCACTCATTACTCCATATAAATAATAAGTTCCAAAATGTATAGATTAATAAGTAAATAAGTCTCCATTTTCATTTTTCCTAATTAAATTGACATATTCACCATTCTTACTCACAAGCATACATTTTGCATTAATAAATTATTAAGGAAATAGACAATTAGCATCTGATCCACATTTTACAGCAATATCTTTAGTCTTTGTAAATTAATTATTTTTTAGCTCATAAACAGACACCTATTCTTTATTATGTGGTGAAAATGTGAACATATTATTATCAATAAAGCAAATTCTAAATCCACATTGATCAACTTTGATCTTTTATTTTAAAATCCATTGTTTATTCTATTCTGATTTTTCTAATATTAATATTAAACTATCCAAACCACAGGACACCAATCTATTTTATTATTAATTTAAACTTAATTAATATACAGTATTATTATGATTTGTATTTGTTTATTAATATATCCATTCATTCTTCTTTATCCAAAATTTAATACTTTTATCTGAACTCCCTGATACAATTAGATCTTCATTATTATTTAAGACTAAACATTAAATTTTATCACCATGCCCAATTAATTTTTATTTTGAAATCCATTATTTATTTTAACTTTTTCCCCATATTATGATAGACTGATCATCACTCCCAGATATAAACTAATCCGATTATTTCATAAAGTTTAATGTATTAACTTCACTCTTATGTTCACTTAAAGATTAAATATGTTTCAAAAATCCTTACTAAAATTCAAATACATTTATTTATGAATCAGATCCAGCCACTAATATTGAACAATCTTTATTAATTGCTAATGCACCACACTAATTGGTTTATAAAATTGATTATTATTTGATTAGTTAATAAGTGAATGGTTGAATATTATTTTAAGTACTTGGTTATTCTATGTCTTAATTTTGTTATTATATATTGATTAATTATTGTTAATCATTTTGAATACATTTCTAAAAAACTAATTCTAAATTCTTTAATATTTCCTTACATTTATTATATTCAATAAATTAATTAAATTATTCTAATTTAAGATTAAATTTTTAATTCCAACAGAGATTAGTTTTCTAAATTTCATGGATATGTAAATTGGGATCAGTTTAATTTGATTTGTAATACTTAATTTCTAACTCCTAAAAAAAACTGTATTGAAAATATTATTATTTTTATTATTCTAAATTCTTAATCCATCCAATCATGATAGTATTCAATTCTCCTAATTATTGCATTACATGTGATTTCATTTGATCAACTATAATTTGTAATGATTATATTAATTTTATATAATTCTTTATGATATCTTCTCCTTTTTCCATCTTCTTTATCTAATTTTATTCTATTTCTGAAATAATTTTCTTTAAGCCAATTGCTTACCCAACTATTTCTGTATTTTCTAAACATTCTATGCATAAAAGTCTTATATTCTTATATATTTTTGGATCAAGTGCAATTGTAACAACTTGCAGCTTATGTCCTTTAGAGCAAAGGAAATCTTTTTCATTTTCTATCATTTTTGGTTTTTACATTTAATTAAATACTAAAATTTATTAAGAATTAATTCACATATTTATACTACGTATTTTTAATAGTTTAACAAATTATACACTTTTTTTATATGCATACAAGCATGGAAAATTTTTTAGGACAACAGAATAACTAATAGAATTTTTTTTTAAGAGTGAATAAAGAAATATTTTATTTATTGAAACTCTCTACGTATAAATATTTTACAGTCCTTTTGACTCCTCTACCACATCATAGATTTCTATGTTTTATGTTCTAAGATTAATTCATATTTAAAATCACAAATTCAAAAATTAAATTTAAGTTCAAAATCCAAGAAGTAGAAATTTTTATTATTTAAATTTACTCAAATTCTATTCATTGTTAATTGCCCATCAAATTTGGGTTTAAAATAACTTTTAAATGTAAAGCAAGTGTATTTTTCAACCTACTATTTCAGATTTATTAAATTATATAATGAGGAGAATAAAAAATTAAGATCATAAAGTTATTTATATATTATTTGATAAAAGTATTATAATTATTATCAGAATTACCTTTATTAAAATGATTTTCTTTATGATGATAATGAAATAAAAAAATCACTATTGATTAGCACATAAATTTTCAACAACTACTATTTATAATTAAAATTTAATTATAATCATCACAAGAGATTTAAGTATTACTTTTTAATAAGACAGGTTTGTAGTAATTATTTTATGGTAAGAATTAAATTTTTACAATCATTTACTATTAAACCCTTTAAAATAATAAAAATGGAAAATTTAACCATTTAGCATCATATTCATTCCAAAAAGTACTCAACAATATTTTCATAGCTAGAAATATTGTTAAATTTTTTCATTTAGAATATAGCTTAATTTAAAATTTACAAACAAATGAAATTTTCAAAACCCAACAATCATAAGTAAGTATAAAACACAAATTACTTCAAGATGATTAATGGATAAAAATAATTGATATTTTATAAAAACAAAAAAGAGAATCAAGGGATCAAAAGGTTTTTATTTAAGTACTTTAGATGATAGAATATTTTTGGAAGAAAGTTAATAATTAAGAATGTATACATATTATACATAGATCTAAAAGTGGTAATGTCTTAAGACAATACTCTACTTTTAAATGGAAGTTTACTGGCAGTTGAATAACATCATCATTAATATAGAGATAATCATATTTTAGATATGAATGTCATTGATTAATCTAAAATTTATAAATTCTTTCATATCCACCTTCAAATGATATATCCAATAGTGATTTCATAAAAATATAACAGATGATCATTTATGATCTACTATATTTCGAATAGTTATCATGTAGAAAATATAAAGAATTGTGAATTTTATACAATAATTATGCAAATGTTAAATAAAATAAAATAAATTTTTACAAGTAAATAATATCACAAAGTATGAGTATAGACATCTCTGAAGATCATAAAAAAGGACCACATTCTCGTCCAGGCAATATATGTGCATCATATGTCTCATTGTTAAAACATTGGATAGCGCATCTAGTAAATAACTCTAAATCTTAATAGTATGGTCGTCCAGCTTTACTATTAATTTCCTGATAATTTTCTAGAAAGTTCTCGATTTCCATTGAATTATTTAACTGGCTTTCTAGATAAAATTAATTATTACAGATTATATTCATATTTTATGGACTTCATAAATAAAGATAAGATTATTTTTGATTCCCAGTTTGTCAATCTTATTGATATTTTTGAATTCACAACCGATCTCCTTCTTACTTTTTCTGAAGAATAATGCACTATAGGTAGGTTCCATTACAGCCAACTCTCATTACTCGGCTTCTTTTCCTTACTGTTTCCTCCTATTAGTATCAAAATTAATTAGAATGAATAGCACCTCACTTATGCTGTACTCAGACATCTGCCCTAATTTGGATCCTCCTGCAGCACTTATCCAAGCTCTACTTAAGGACTGTTCTATCGATGCTGTAGCCTGTTTTCACCAACAGTTTGAAGCTGAGTACATCGACAGACACAAGCGAGTGGATTGAGAAGCAATAAAATCTTCGAGTCTGGAAGAGGGAGCACCACTCCCTAATTGGCTAGATTGTGGGGAATTCCCAAAATAATAATTAATTTTAATGTTGAATATTTGATTTATAGA